GGCGTCAGCCGAAAGGGCCGGCAGGCTCCGCTCCTGACATCGCCGGGTTGAGGGTTTAGGGGTTTAGGGTTTAGGGGTTTAGGGTTTAGGGTTTAGGGGGGGTTTAGGGTTTGGGGTAGTTGGGGTGGGATTTCTTAGTTCCCCAATATGCAACCTTTAGACTTGTTGGGTTCTTATAATTTTGGGTTCTCATAATTTAGTAGTAATCTGAAAGTTTATCCTTCTATTTCCCTGGCTCATTGGGAAAGTCAGATTTCGGGGCTTGGGGTAGTTAGGGTTTGGGGTTTAGGGTGGTTGTTTTTTGTGTCAGGGGTCTTTGTGCTTGAGTGCCCCAAGGGTTAAATGACCTGAACGACCTTCCAAAAAGTGTTCCTATGCCTTGCTCTGGGTCCTTGTTGGCTACAAGCTTCCATCTTTGTTATAATAAAATCCAATAAAGAATTTAAAAACTACCATTTTTAATCTAGCCCCATTTTACATTTTGTATTATTCTAAAACCCAACAAGGATGAAAAACTACCATTTTGCACTATAGCCCCAACAGGGAACCAGGTCCTCGGCGCTTCAGAAGTTAGGGTTTAGGGTTTAGGGTTTAGGGTTTAGGGTTTAGGGTTCAGGGTTTAGGGGTTTAGGGTTTAGGGTTTAGGGTCCTCCTACCTCCGAGGCTCGTTGAACTTCTAGAGGCATGCCGATAACCCAGAGACTCCAAAATGCCTTAATTAAGGAATATACCTTAAATCATAATAGGATCCCGAATATGATTTAAGGTTTACTCCTTGATTAAGGGATATTGGAGTCTCTGGGAACCCTTATTCTAGGATTTTTTCGGGAGCTGTAGGGAAGCTAAGGGTGTACTCGGGCGGGAGAATTGTACTGGTATACACCCCGCAAAGAGAACCCCCTCGCTTAAGGATTCCATAACCCTAAACCCTAAACCCAAAACCCTGAAACCCTAAAATTCCAAGCCGAAGTCCACGGCCCCTAGCCTTAGACTTTCCAACCCCCGACGAAAGCCCCCACAAGCCGCTACCACACGCACAAGCGGCACTTAGCTAACATAGGAGCCTTAATAATCAGAATAGGGTTTTGGGGTCCAATATACAATAACTAGTAATAAGGAACCCCCAAAATAATATGGGGATTTCCGAGAATACCCCAAAATAGGGTACCCCTTATTTTCGGAAACCCCCATATAGGTAATGAAGCTTACAGGAGGTGTCCGTGAACAAGGAGGAGATCGACGATGCTAGGCTCGTTCTTGGACCAGAGTTTAGCCTTTGGGGGCACGGTTTAGGACCATTGTTTTTGCAATTTTGGTGAAGCTCGTTTTTGCACATGTGCAAAAACGCCTTTTTGCTTGGGAATCTTTCCAAGAGGGCCGTTGAGGGTGTAACAATTCTATTGGGTTTGGAGTTTAGGGCAAGTTTAGGGTTTGATGCAGGGTCTTATGGGCATGGGGTTGCGAGGGTTTCACGGGTCGGGGTGTGGGTGTCATTGGTTGTGGGTTTAGGTGTGAATGGGTTTTGGGTTTGGTGGTTCATGCATTTCCGGGTTAGGGGATTTAGGATCTGCGCTTTGGGCTGAAGTTGTCACGGCTTGCCGACAGGTCTTGAGGGTTTAGGGTTGCTGAGGCGATCATGGTGGTGTCGAAGCAAAGCCAGAATGGCTGATGGACAAAATCCTGCAATCCCAGGGGGTTGTCGCTTCTTCCTTGTTCCTTACTGCAGGAGCTTGTTTATCAACAGCGGTGAGAGTGTAGGATCTCGGTTATCTTGTGGTAAGCTGGGTGGAAGACAGCGTCTTTCAAGTAGAGCCACGGAAGCCCGTGGTTTGCGGAGGGTGGCACTTCAATGCACTCGATGGGGTTTGGCCTGAACTGTTGCTCAGTCCGGACCACTACATTGCCAGTACAGTTGCCCTGCACCCACAGGCGTCGTGCGCTTGAGCGGGCTTGGATCGGGGCCATCGCAGCTGAAGTAGGGGCTACGAAGTCTGCTTGCAAAGCTTACAGATGTCAAGGCTCACGGAGGATCATCGGCATCGGCTGGTTTTGGGATTTGGTGACCTCAATATAGAGGTCGGAGAGAACCAGCAGTCATAATAATACTCAAAATAGGTTATATCCCTTTAGAGAGTACCCTGTCCAAGCCTTAGGCTAGTTGAAGAGAACCTGAACCCTGCAAGCGGAAGCCATGAATCGAAAATAGTCGGAAAGCCTCACCTAGGCCTTTAGGAGTTGGGGGTTACTTAGGGTTTGGGGTACCGGTGTTTACTGCACGGTTGTCAGTTACCGAATTCGACATGAACTGCCCGGCTCCGTATTTACCCACACCCCTCTCTGAAAGCTGGCGGCTTCCACAGGTGGTTCACGCGAAAAGAGGTGCAGCAGATGCTGCAGTAGCTCGGTTGCCTTGCCTGCTGGCTTTCAGGCTTTGGGCTCGGTGTCTGGAGGGCGACAGCTGGAGTTTCGGAAAGTACGGACGCCAACCTAAGCCCAAGGAAGTGGTCCTCTTACTCTGCACACCCTTAGAAAGGGAGCCTCACTGTAGGAACTCCCAGAATCCTCAAGTGCTGGGAGTCAGCAGCACTAGGATGCAAGTAGCATGAGGGCGATGGTTTGATTCGATTTTGCAACTTTCTCGGGACACGACACCAGCTCGTGCAAAATACATCACAACCTCTAGCGCAGGGGCCTCTAGCAAAAGACAGCAGCATGCATGCACGGAAGGATGGGTGGATGGATGGATGCATGGACGGACGTTCTTTTTTATGGCTGCGTCGTCACTCAGAGTGATACTCATGCATTGGGTCGCTGTATGCCTGAAGCCTAAACCCTAAACCCTCAACCTATAGAAACCCAAGAGCCTTAAACCCTAAACCCTCAACCTGTAACAACCCAAAAGCCCTAAACCCTAAACCCTCAACCTATAGAAACCCAAGAGGCCCTAAACCCTAAACCCTCCACCTATAGAAACCCAAGAGCCCTAAACCCTAAACCCTCAACCTTTAACAACCCAAGAGCCCTAAACCCCAAACCCTCCACCTGTAACAACCCAAGAACCCTACTTGGAGGTTCATGGTTAGTTATAAGTAGGGTTATAAGTCCCCTAATATAGGTTATAAATATAGTTACCCTACTTATGACCCCACTTATAACTACCCCTTTAAACTCTAAACCCTATAGAACCCTTTAAAGGAACCCTTAAAGGAACCCCATAAACCCCACTTATAACTACCCATGAACCTCCAAGTAAACCCCAAACCCAGGCAGAAGCATCCCAACGGCCTCTGGGTTCCCCCCCGCTTCGCCATCGCCGCCTCGGTGGCAGAAGGGTAGGTGTCAAAATTATGGTCCCTTTTTGGGGTGCCCTAAATAATAGGTGCCGTATTAGAATAAGGACCCAAAAAGGGAC